GCAGAGGTCATGTAACAGCATAACTTTTCCTTAGGCTGCTCACCAAGAAACTTCTTGTCCTTAGAAAAGCCTTTTCCTAGTTTGTGTCTGACGAATCAGCCAAAAAAAAAAAAAAATCATGGCTTTAAGGTATGTCCTGTTTTTGTTTTTGTTTTTGTTTTTATTGCTAGAGGATGTGTGTGCTTGCCAAAGAAAGGCAAAGAACTGGAGAAAGGACCTCCCCTTCCCACTGTGGACTATGATCATGCCACAGTCCCCTCTCCTCCATTTCTCCATCCTGTTGAGATTCTAGGCATCCATGCACATGGGCCTCGTGGGTTTTTCAAGCTGCTAGGGTCAAAATTCAAATCAATGTCATTCATGTAAGATCTGATGCTATTAACTATTAGCCTAAGGCATGTACTTCTGATTAAACAAAGGAAAATGCACTGTATAGTGTCATTCCATTATGGTTTGAAAGGATCCATTTATATATGCTGTCATAAACATTCTTTTGCAAGTTCTACATGGCTTTTCAATAATACTGGAACCATACAAACATAAAATTTGTTGACATATAAAAATATTTCCCTCATATGGCTTCAACAGCTCAACAAAGACCTACTTTAATTCGGAAAGTTTTACATATTTTTGGCCACTAGGTGGTATTGGCAATCCATTGACAAGTGGACTTCACCTACTTCAAACATTGCCTTTTACTCGAATCTTTTACAGAAATGTAAACCATTTCAAAGTAAGAAAACACTGTAGGAAAGCTGAGATAACAAAAGTAAGCAAAAATAACATAAAATTTTAAAAAGCATTTAAATGATTGAAAATAATTTTAGAGTAGTAATGAAGGTAGTCCCTTTTTATTTATTTTTTCCTGTAAGATACATGTGTTTGCTGGAGAGAGACAGAGAGAGAGAAGAAAATTGAGAAATCAGCCAAGGGTTGGGGAATGGCCATGCTGCAGTCCTCTCCTCCATTCTTTTGATATTTTAGGCATGCAAGCTCAGTGTGATTTTTCAAGCCACTGGGTCTGAGACTCAGGCTGAGGAATCAGCCACATGGGATCCATGCTACCTGCTGGCTGAAGGTAGACACATATTTTTTAAAGAATTATTTATTTATTTAATTTTACTTGTTATTACTATGATTATTTTTTAATTTGACCAGAGAGAGAGAGAGAGAGAAATGGAAAGTGAGAAAGCAAGCCTCCAGGTCTGGGACTCAAACTATAGTCAGCCATGTGGGAATCCAGCGCCCTTAACCACCATGCCATCTGCTGGCCCAGATTTTTAAGTAAAATACAATCCTGATACCTCATTATACTTTTATATGTAGGACTGAATTGTTTAAAGAAGTCACTGGAGCACTTTAGGACATGTTAAACAATGTGATTAATTTAGTATTTGGTACTGTTTATGTGGTTTGTTACTTTAGGGAACTAAAAGATGTTAAGACTTAAGATGAAATTTTCGGGGAACCAGCAGTTAGCGTAATGGCTGTGTCGCTGGACTCCCACGTAGTTGACTGTGGTTTGCGTCCCAGACCCGGTGGCTTAAAACCCATGCCGGGCACGTGTGCGTGCGTGCCCAAGATCCCGAGAGGAGAATGGAGGAGAAGGGATTGCGGCATGGCCATCCCCTCTGGGGGGTGATTTCTTGCTTTCTGTCTCTCTGTCTCTCTCTGTCTGTCTGGCGAGCGCATGTGCCCTATAGTGAAAAACCTCTTAAAAAAAATGAAATTTTCATAACTTTCTAATCCATCAATAAAAAATATCAGAAATGTGAAATGAAATGGAAATTTGAATGATTCTTTAAGTTAGGACATTTAAATGATCTAGAGTTATTTCTTGGTTTGGGTTTCAGAAGTATTTTGTGCAGAGCTTGCAAGTGGCATGGTGGTTAATATGGCTGACTCCCACCTGACTGACTGCAATTCAAGTCCTGGACCTGGTGACTTGCTTTCTCACTTCCCTTTCTCTCTCTCTTTTTCTGTCCCTCTCTGGTAAAATTTTTAAAAATAATAATAATAACAAAATAGCTCTTAAAAAAAGTATTTTGTGCATAAGTTGCACAAAATTTATTCATGAAATGGACACATATGCACTACAGCTTGCCTTTCCAGAATCCTTCAGTCATTTGGAAGAGTCTAGTTTCTAAGTAGCTGAGGATTTCTGTTTCTCTTCCCTCCACCCCTTCTTTTTAAAGTTTTGGTATACAGAGTGTGTGCTCACCAGAGAGAGAGAAAACGAGAAATCACCCTCTTGGGATTTGGATTTCAGGCAAGCGCACGCATGTGCCTGGTGTGTTTATCAAGCTGCCACCATGCAGTTCCCCGTGTGGGATCCAAATGCTTTAGCCACTACTCCACCAGCTGGCCCAGATTTTTCTTTTTAGGCATCAGTCATTTCTAAGTTCCAATAGAAGTGTTCCTAAAATAAATTACATACTTTCCTGTCTCCTTCAATTGAGCCAGTAGAAAAGAGTTTGCCTTTTGTTGATGCGTCAGGGCTCTTCCTGTGAGGATCAAGGCTGGCCCTTCTCCGTCTGGCTGCCCTTCCAGAGGCTGGCACAAGTCAGAGTGTTCTTCACCCTGTGGTGAATGGCCCCGGACTGCGCAGCCGCCGAGCTGCAGTGTTTGCCTCTGTGGGTTGTTTCACCTCCTCCTGCTGTCGCTTTTTGTTGCCAATGGCTTGGTGTGCTGGTGTCTAGCAGTTCCTCTCATGTTTCTTTTTTGTTAATTCTGTTTAACTAATGATGGTTATTTCAATTATGTGTGAAAAAAATACACAGTCTGTTTAGTATTCTCTGAGTGATGACTTTAAGTGTGTGAATTTGAGGGGTTTGTTGTTTTGTTTGCATTGTCAACCTTGTAAAATATCTGCCTCTAGAATATGTATCAGAATAGCTGGATATTTGCAAGTGTTAAGTAGAGTTTGAAAAATTGGGCGAAAGTGTTTATTTTTATTTTTGGCCCTTCTCTGCCCTTCATGTCTTTAAATAGGAGTCCCTTTGCGGCAAGTTGATCTGAGAACTGCCACTAGTAACCCAGCTGAGGCGGGTGCGAATGGCACTCCACCACTCCTTGCTGTTGGCTTTCCTTTTCTTCCCCACCCCCAGCTTCTCCTTTTTTGGACTTTACTCATACTGTTTTACTATTCTTCCTTTGTGCTCTCTCCTTTATGGCTTTCAATAGTGGTAGGACTTTACGAGCAACATAAAGACTTGGTTTAGTATTAAAGCTTTGAAAGTTGGTGACCCCTTTTAAAAGGTTTAGCATTAGTTATATATTAAAAGCAACTTCCTACAAGTTGCCTGTTCAAGGCCCTAGACCTCCCTGAGTGTGCTGTGCATGTGGCCATGGTCTAAGCTGGCTAGTGAGCAGTAGATTGTGGCATCAGGATCTGGCCAGGGGTGCTGTGTATCTGTCTTCTCACTCATGGAATGAATAAAGTTTAAAAAAAACCCACTACTTTTGTCATTCATACACACAGTATGTATGTATATGCATGGGCATCTACACAATTATTTTCATAAGATCTGCAGTGCTGTTCCTTGTGGTATTTGACCAGTTCTAAGTATGACAATTATATTTAGCCATTAAAATTTCTCGTCCCTCATCCCTTCTCCCTCCCCACCCTTGTTTCCTTTGGATTTTTCACTTCCTTTCTTTGTTTACTGCACTCATGCTCATAGTTGCCTACTTTCATGTGGAATAAATGATTCATGTCCATAATTCTTGGCTCCTAGGAGATGAAACTTTTATGCAGTGATGTTATTGATTATATTTCATGGTTCTCTGTAATAGGCTCTGTGCAGCACCTCCAGGCTTGTTGCCCTCAGATTAAGTACATATTTGAATACTTTCTGAGACTTCTCATTTATAGCTTGAATATTTGATCAGTCTACATAATTAAGCAAATTGTTGACTGAATACTTTGTATTGTGACCAGAATACTTAAATTCAGAAAGGGTCATATTTGGGAGGCCTCTGGCAATGCAAGAAGACATTTTACATTCTACCACACTTGGTCAATGAACATGTTGCATTGATTTCAAGGCCAAAATTTTGCATTAAACAAAGTGTTCCATCTTCGTAGTATAAATTCACTTTCCCCTAGCTCCACTCCCACCCACTAACATCTGCAGTGAATGTAAACCTTTAGCTTACGTCTATAGTGATGATGAAAGAAGCATAACCTTGAAGTTGCTGGGTTATTTCAATCCTACCAGCCACAGCTTTTGTGGTTCACTAATGGAAATAGTCTGAGGCTTTCAGTCGAAAGGGCTACAGTTGGGCGCCGCAGTAATGGATGGATTCGCTGCTGCCCAGAGTATTTCTTCAGGCAGAGGAAGTACACTGGCTGTGTCATGTGCGCTGTGTCTTGCCGTCAGTTTAATAACAGGGACTTCCTGAAAATTATTTCAGCTCTTTTTTTTTTTTTTTTTCCTGTTCATTTCTTCAGTTCCTATTTATCAGCCTTTATTTTCCTCCCTTTTGGGGATTCATTGCAACTGAGGTCTCATTCTAAGATAACTATACTTCAGATCAATCACTGTGTATTCCCCTAGCAATGTGGGCAACATCAGTATGCATTAGCCCTGAGTGAGTCAATGTGTGTTTTAAATCACCGCCAATATGTTTGAGAAATGGGAAGAGGAAATAGCACTAAAGAAAGAGCATGAAGACTTGGGTTTCAGTCCTGGCTCAGCCATCGACTACTTTTGTGATTTTTTGGCAAGTCATTAAATCCCTCTGGGCCTCATTTCCTTATCTTTGAACTGAAGAGATTGGACTAGTGATGTCTAAGTCTGTTCCTGATTTAAAATTGTTTGTGCTGCTGTTCATTTAAAAACACTCAGCTAATCTTTTAGTAGTCTGTTTGAGGAGTAAGGGAGAGATATGACATGGCATTCTCTTAGCACCATTTTAATAGGACATTAAGGTGTGTGTTCTTGCACTTGTTTTGTATGCAAATACACTGAAAAGAGTGGTTTTTTTTTTCCTTCTAGGACAGTGGCTTTGTACATATTCATACCCCAATAATTACATCAAATGACTGTGAAGGAGCTGGAGAACTTTTTCAAGTTGAAGTAAGTTGTGCTTCCTGTATTAGGCGCTAGATTGCTGTTTGATATTTTTCATCTGAGTATTTGCTTTAAATATAATAGGATTTGTATGGATAGGAGACTATTACAGCACCTGAAATTGTTGGTAGTAATCTTTTTTAAAAAATATATATATATATATGTGTGTATGTATATACATATGTACCTATATATGTATACATACAAAGGTGTGTATATATACACACAAAGGTGTGTATATATATTTACATATATGATATTCAAACTAGCCCAGCCCCATTGTGCAGAGGTTAAGTACTTTGGTAGATAGCCAGGTCCCACATGGCCAACCACTGTTCAAATCCCAACCCTGGCGGCTTGGAAGACACTCCAGACATGTGTGTATGCCCAAAATATTCACTTGTTTTTTCTCTCTCTCTCCCTGTGTCTCTGGTAACAGTACACACTCTCTGGCAATACATTTTTAAAAGTTCAAACTGCTCCGATTTCCTAACTTACTAGTCACATTTCTTATATTGTGACTGAAATAAGTGAATTTTTAACTTAGTACTCTATTTTCTTAAGTCACTGTGAATCAGTGAGCAAGGGAAATTTGAAGAAGCTAATAAGAATTTTAAGCTATCTTTTTTGTTGTTGTTGTTTTTCAATTTTGCCATAGGACACGTGCACTTGCTTGGAGTAAAACAGAGAGAGGGAAAGTGAGAAATCACCCCTAAAGGGTATGACAATGCTACAGTCCCTTCTCTGTTATCCTCTTGGGATTTGGGTATGTGCAGACACACTCCTGGTGAGATTTTTTCAAGCTGCTGGATCTGTGACTTGAACCATAGTTAATCAAGTGGGAGTCCAGTATCTTAACTACCACACCACCTACTGCTCCAGAATTTTAAACTATCTTTTGTGCAAATTCAACTTCCAGTTAATATATTTCGTATGTAAATTTTATTTTAAAAGATAAAAATAAAAAAGTATACAAGTGAATATTACTTTGGTTTTCAAAGTCTTCAAAAAAAATTTTTTTAGCTGCCTGACTGTGTGTATTCTTATGAGAGAGAAAGGGAGTAAGCAACCCCCAATGGATCATGATCATGCCACGATCTTCTCGTTTCCATTTGTCCATCCTATTAGGATTTTCAGCATGAACTTGAAGGTATCTGGTGTATTTTTTAAGCCACAGGATTTGAACCATCATGGTCAGCCATGTGAGATCTGGCTCCCTTAACCACTGCTCTAGAGCTGGCCCCCAAAATACACTTTGTCATAAGAAATGACTTATGTACATCCCATGAAGACTCTTAATTTCTTTGTATAGCAGTTATTTTGTAGCTCCTAGTATATGCCAGACATTGTCAGCCTACCCTAATTGGAGATAATTTTTTAAAGTTACCGATTTTTGTTACTTATATGTAGTTAAAATCCTGTCATATACCAATGTGATGGCTGTTTAAAATCATTAAGAAATAGTATAATAATGGACAGAGAGAAGTGTAGATTGGTGAATGGTACTTTTTGTATTTTATTGATTGTTTGATCACTAAGAAGTCAAGATTCTTGTTCATACATGTGGTTGATTCTGTCAAATGGTAAGACCTATGTATAACTGCCCTTTCTGGTTTAGTACTTGATGACCCTCGTCAATGATGCTTTTTCTTTATATTAATTAATTTGTTTATTTTGTTGTTCTTTTTGTTTGTTTTTTCCATAGGGTGGGTAATTGCACTTGCCAGAGAGAGACAGTGAGAAGGAAAGTGAAAAATCACCCCTGTCTCCCCTACCCCCCTGCCGGAGGGGCACAGCCAAGCCACAGTCCCTTCTCCTTCTGGGATTTTGGGCATGCACACACGTACCCAGCATGATTATCAAGCCTCCAGCTCTAGAACTCAAACCACAGTTCGCCATGTGGGAGTTCAGCATCTTAACCACTACACAACCTGCTGGCCCCTTTTTATTTTATTTATTTATTTATTTATTTATTTGTTTGTTTGTTTGTTTGTTTGTTTTAACTTCAGAGGGACAGAGCAAGAGAGCCAGAGAGCGAGAGAGAGAAAGAGAGAGGGAAAGTGAGAAAGCAAGCTGCCAGGTCCAGGACTCGAACCATGGTTGGGTATATGGGAGTCCAGCCACCCCAGTGCTCCGCCCCCGCCCCCCCCCGCCACACACACACACACACACACACACACACACACACACACACTTCTTATATTATTAAAGTATTCATTTGGATAAGTTGTCCTGATACGTCAAAGTCATTAAAATAATAATCAAGTACAATCTTTTTTCATACATGACTTGAAGCTTTATGTTAATTAGCCTTATGAAAAAAGCAGGGGGGGCAGCAGTTAGCCTAATGGCTATGTCGCTGGACTCCCATGTAGTCGAACACAGTTCGAGTCCCGGACCCGGTGGCTTAAAA